ACCAAAAACAGCATTTGTAACAAAATGTGGTCATTTTGAGTATAAAACCATGCCTTTTGGATTGACCAATGCACCAGGTACATTCCAGAGACTTATGGAAATGGCGTTAAATGGCCTCCAGTGGGACATTTGTCTTATTTATTTGGACGATATAGTGATATTTAGCAGAAATTTTGATGAACACATGTCCAGACTTAGCCAAGTGGTTCAGAGAATAGCAAATGGAGGTTTAAAATTGAAACCTGAGAAATGTAGCCTTTTTCAAGATGAAGTTATTTTCCTTGGACATAAAGTCACTAAAGATGGAGTCTTACCAGATAAGCAGAATGTAGAGAAGATTTTGAACTGGAGCAGACCAAATAATGTTACTGAAGTATGACAATTCCTTGGAACTGCCTCTTACTACAGGAGATTTTTAAAAGGGTTTTCGGTGATAGCTAAACCTCTTACTAACTTACACAAAAGAACCATTCTTTTCGCTTGACAGACTTATGCGAAAAAGCATTTCTGCAACTAAAGAAGATTCTTACTGGGCCAGATATAATGGGATATCCTGACCCAAACCAAGGCCATTTTATTCTCGACACAGACGCCTGTGATGTAGGCATTGGTGCTGTATTGAGCCAAGTACAGGAGGGACGTGAAAAAGTGTTAGCCTATGGGAGTCGAACCCTAAACCGTGCTGAAAGGAACTATTGTGTAACTGATAAAGAGCTCCTAGCTGTTCGTTACTTTGTTGAATACTTCAGACAATGTCTTTTAGGACAAAGATTTGTACTTAGGACTGATCACCAAGCATTAGTATGGCTATATAAACTGAAAGAACCTAAAGGAAAAGTGGCTCGCTGGATTGAAATATTGTCAGCCTACAATTTTGAAATTGAGTACAGGCCTGGAACACAGCATGGTAATGCTGACGGTCTATCAAGATGTCCTAACCCAGCTGACTGTAACTGCTCAGAAGGTGACAGTTTAGAAAGCCTGAAATGTGGACCTTGTATTAAATGCAGAAAGAGAACTGAGACTATAGAAACTCAGGAAAATCTTGAGGAGAGGCTGGATTCCGGAGCTGGTCCTGTTTCAGATGTGAAGTTCGTTCATGATGGCCCCGGCGAGAGTAAGTGTTACAACCCCTGTCCCCCAAAGAATTTCACCCAAGAAACAACCCAAGAAGTTGCAGTCTGTTGTGACGGTACCAAGGAGGATCCTTCCAAAGCCCGCACGTAGAGCTACTGAGCACCAGTCTCCATTGGATGATATTTTACGGCCAGATCACTTCAGAGCCCGACGACCTTATTATAATAAGAGACATTAGATATTTCATTGTATATTTGAGCAGTAAGTATAAGTACGTGTATAAGTAATGTAAGTTAGGAAAATATTCATTTAATGTATGTTGTAAATTGGGTTAGGAATTGAATGATTTGTGGACTTTATGTGTAATATTTTTAAAATTGATATTTCAAGCATTAAGTCTGACGATAATGAGATTCATTTCTGTAATATTACTTGATATTTTTGCTTACCAAGAGCTTAGTGTCCATTTCTCTTTTCTGTGATCCTGTGAATGAAAATTAAGAAAGATTATACATTACTTGTTATACTTAAATATGTCTAAATTATTAGCATTATCAGAACACTGTATTTTTATGTGCAAGTATCTATAATGAATTTGAGAGGCTGCTAAAATTTTGTGTATCCATTGTTTTTGAAAGATAAATTCATTCTTTAAATGGCAGTTAATGAATATTAATTGAATTATTATCATTCATGTACATTTTAACTTACTTACCTTATCACACTGTATACTATGCTCTGCTCATTTGTCTCCATGAAATTATGTTGAACTTCATGTTTTAATTCAGAATTTTGTGTTATGTATAAAGTTTCTATTATATTGATAAGTGATATGCAGGAAGGTTGGTGTAGTAGTGTTATAGTTTGTAAAATTCTATGATTTATTCATTCCTAGAGATGTGAATTTTTGAGAGGAGTTGATACATTTTTTTTTTTTGGTAAGCTTTGTGAAGTACAGCATTTGTTTCTGAGTAGTTTCCCTTGTGTGTATAGATTAGCTGTACTGTTCAGTGTTCATGGAAGTATATGTGTATCGAGTGTAGAGTATAAAGTAGAATATTGAAATATGTCATTGATTGTTTTAATTAATTGTTGTATGTGAATTTTATTGTTTGTATTTTGAGTCCAAAGGGACTTGGACTCTTAGAGAGGGGCAAAATGTAACGATCCCTCCCCCATTTTTCTTGAATCTCATTTTTTTATCTTGGTATTTTTCTAAAGCACTTTCATGCATACTTTAAATTCATTCATCAATTCTTGCATGGAATGTTGAAATGTCCAGCGAGAGTTATTTCTTAATTGTTGGTTGACAACTGTTTATATGCAGCGGAGATCTATGTTATTTTTCTTGTGTTTCGATGTGTTGAATGTCAGACATCGTCTTGCTATTTAATTGCACGCTTTTTGTTGGCTTGATTGTACATACGTAATTGTAAAGTTGCGCTGTAGTTTAGGATTATCTTAGAGTTACCTTATTTCTTGTGTGATCGATGTTTTATGGTCTTCGAGCACACAGGTTTCACTGAAACTTCTGCCGCCGCCATACTTTGTTTACTTGTGTATTTTCCCGTGATGCTTCACGGTGATCTATTTTTACTGGAGTTATTTCGGCGGAAGATTTGATTGTAAATTCTTTTTAAATTAAATGTTAAACAGTGTTAAATGAGCTTTTAAAAGTGTAACTTTATGTTTTATGAATTTATTTAATTTATTTATGTTTTGCAATAATTTTACATACGATGTACGAGAGTGAGATTTCATTACGGGACGATGATTACATTTGATTGGCTGATTATTATTTACGGGATGGAATTATTAGTTATGATTGGTTATGAATTATTGCGGGTTTTGTTAATTCTATAAATACCCAGATTCTGAATATCGTTTGCTCTCTTGTTTTCTTTGTGACCTAGGGAAAGGTTGCCAGTTTTGTCCAGAGTAATTTAAGGTGTGTACTAGTTCAGTATCTTTGTGACTGAAGTACATAATACATAATGTTAGGTTAGGCTAAATTAATTATTACTAGTAATTGTACTAGTTTTATTTATAATTACTAGTTGTGAACTAGTTATTTTTATCTTCTTTAGCCCAGTTTAGGAGTTAGGAAATATTTCTGCTGCGTGCTAGTAGTTGAACTAGTAGCGGGAATATTTATTTGTAAATTAATTATAAGTCATTTATAGAGAGCCTTTACGTCTTATTTTGGTCGGGGGAATTTGCTTAAATTATAAATTTACTGGAAATAGTGTCAGTTGCCCAGTTCTATATCAGTAGTTGTACTGATTTTGGTCTTAGATCTATGTCCCGAGGGTTGAGACTTGTGTGAATTTCAAACATTGTTATTTATTTTCGCTGTTCATGTATTACTGAATAAAATTATAAAACTTTACATCGAAGTTTTTGTTCTCAACACAAGGCAGGCGTTCCGAAGCGTTACAATACGCTCAAAATATCAGGATCGAACGTCCTTAAGCAAGTTACCATTTTTTTTTGGCAATGCGTGAGTGAATATGATACCTTTCGCAGAAAAAAATGTTGAGGCGCAGGTCTCCAAAACTAGAGACGATACAATAATTATTTACTCACAGTGGAGGCAGGTTATAGCCAGCGCCCCACTCTGAATATTCAAGTTCACGAAATAGGATTCTTCGATGTTTCCTATGTTAAATGATTTTGTAAGAACAAAATCCATTGGTACATCATAGGTAGGATCATCATAATTAGAGATTGAAAGTGACCACTAGTACCCCACACTGGAAATTACAGTCTTAAAGGTTTGATTGTGTATTGTTCTCTCAATATTTTTTCACTCATATGGAGACGTCACCGAATATTCGTGAAAGGCTTCAAATTTAGTCGGCACTCAGGGACATTGAACAGTGAGGGTTGTTTAACGTGCCAACGCATACCGGGACACGGAACCTACGTTTTAAGGTCATATCCGAAAGACCCTTGACTTTCACTTCTGATGTCGAGCGCTTGGCGAAGGAACAATCATACCCTATTTTTACGTCTCAGGTTTGACGCGGCGCCGAGAACGAGAATCGAACCCGGGCCTCCCGATCACGATTGATTGTTTATTGTTTAAGTCCCTCTCGAGAATTTTTCACTCATATGGAGACGTCACCGATGCCGGTGAAGGGCTTCAAATTTAGACCTATACTCGGCACTCAGGGCCATTGAGCAGTGAGGGTTCTTTATCGTGCCAACGCCTACCGTGACACGGGACCTACGTTTTTAAGGTCATATCCGAAAGACCCGTGACTTTCACTTCAAGTGCCGAGCGCTTGGCGAAAGAACAGTCATTACCTTTGTTGACGTCTTAGGTATGACGCGGCGCCGAGAACGAGAATCGAACCCGGGCCTCCCGATCACGAAGCGAACGCTCTACTACTAGGCTACCGTGAACGGTAAACGTTAAATTGCGAACTGTTTTAGGAATCAGTTTACTTTTAAACTGCGTAAAATAAATTAAAACTGCGTTTCTAACCTGATTGCAAATTATTCATCCATTATTGTGTAACCCATGTTTTTTGAATGAGTGAACTATTTTCAAACGTTAAACAACATACAATCAATCAACATTGACTACTACGTATCTTCTGTTTCAAAATCTGCTACTGGGCAAAGAATAAATTTAGGGCACTTTTTCTGTCAGAATGAAATATATGGAGATAATGAACAGTATTCAAGCTCAAAAGCCCATAAAATAATACAAAATAGGAGCAGAGCAAACACGGACCTCCAAAACATCAGAGGTGGGAACAGGTGCCATGGAGGAGTGATTTATGAAGTATTATGCCAGTCTTACATCATATGATCGAAGGCTGGACTTTTTTTGGCAAAATGCAAATTAGTGACATCTGCCACCAAAAGAGAATATAAAATGTGCATATTTACCCTGTTATAATTTGTCTTTTTCAGCCTAAAACAGAATATATACAACTGCTGAGACTGCCTGTAGAATTACTGGTATGTTCGAAAATTTTAAATTTTTTTTAATTTTTTAAACTCTGAAACACCAGTATCTGAAATTAGTTGAAGATTATTTTATAATCTCCTCTGAAAGTTATTCTATAAATTCTAAATTTCAGTTATAGCATGAAGATCATTATAAATGCGGATTTAATACAGAAGTTAAAAATTGATGGCATCTTCAACAAAAAAGACTTTTCATGACATTTTTTTGTAAACAATGGAATTATGAGTTCTTTTCTTCTTCAATTTAATCATCAGTACGAGTTTAGTAATACCATAAGTAATATTTGAAGAACTTTCCATGATATTAATTCAAACTTCTCATAACAATGCTGGTTTTTTTTTATTTTTACCACAGATCTAAATCCAAAAACTTCAAGATGAAGCCCTGCCTTTTAATCGTGGTCTGTGTGTTTTTGATTGGTGAGTATTGTATGCTTTATATGATACTGAGCAGTTCATTTATTTTTCTCGATTAAAGTGTTTCAAACATTCCTTTCTTCTGTAATTAAAATCAATTCAAGCATTATAAAAAAACCTGTCAATTTCTATGTGATAATTTAAAAAAAACCCATTATAAACAGACATTGATAAAAGCATTTTAAAATTTTCTAGCATCGGCGCAAGTTGTTACGGCTGGCCACGGCTGCTACGGACCCGTTCACAGTGACCGTACTTGCAGTAGGTACTGCAAGAACGAACTTAGCTGTCAAGGAGGATACTGCGATTCGAAAAAGGCGTGGTTAGTTTGCAAGTGCTTCAAGTGCTAAAAATAGTTGAAAAGGTAAAGAACTAATAATTTAGTAACAAAAGATATTTTCCTTTATATTTTTTTTTGTTTTTTTTTTTATCTTGACGTTGAAAGCATTATTTGAAATGCGACGGATTGCCTATGCTTAGCTTTAAAGGTTATTTTCTGTCTGTTAATTTGTCTGATATGAGAGAGAGAGAGAGAGAGAGAGAGAGTTATCATAATGATTTTACCCTTGCTTCTATTTCAGAAAAAAACATGGATTCAGACAACACTATTTGTTTGTCGCAACCAATAACTATTAAATCATAAGAAGATGTTTGTTAGTTTGTTTTTCTTGATTTCTTGAGTATCGTTCAATGCCATTGTACGTAGAGTGCGGTGAACGATTGAAGAAAAGAAAGTCTTTTTTAAAACAACGAAATGTGTTTTCTCAAAACTGGAATGAACGGATATGTAAAATCTGCGAGAGCGCATGACGTAATTTTTTTCAATAAGTGAAAGCGTTTTAATCAATTAAAAAAACTTAGGAAAATATTTCATTATTCATACTGTGGAATCATGGGAAACATGTAGAATGTTCGTGGGTTACCAATGTTTGTGGATTTCGTGGGTCAACCTTATCTACGAATTTACATCCCCTCGAACATCTATTTTGTCAACATATTTATTTATTGAATCTTCTGTATATATGAGTTACCAACGAAATTTTGTCCCCACGAACCAATAAATTTGACTTTCCCACGAACAATGACCCCCCTGAATTAAAATGATTCCACAGTAACTAGATCTATAACAATTGATGAAGGAAAGTAAAATATTGTTTTTGTTTATTTGACCTAAAAAACATCAGAGGTGGTATCAGGTGCCATGTAGGATTGAACATCCCATGCCGAACTGTCAAACCCACCGCCTGCTCCTTGACATAATCTGGAAAACGGAAAAATCCTTAGACAATGCAGTGTTTAAATGATGGCCTGATAATTAGTATGCAAAACGTCATTCATCATTTTCGTATTCGCTGAATATGTAATTTTATCGAGCATGAAGAGAAATGATGACTACTAACAAGACTGCTGATATTCTTCTATAATTAACTTGTTTGTTAATAGCTTGCCTTGTTCTAATCCTTCACGTTTGTCCTCATAGTTTTGTTGTTATTTGGCCATTAATGTCTAGATATGAAACAGACGTGGCAGATCCTGTGATGTATTTTATCTCGTAAGTATCGTAAATTCAACCTTCAAAATATGTCAAAAGCAAGGCTTCAATTTAAGTCATTTGACTTACCCAAAATAGTGGTTGATATTTCACCGTCTGAAAAAAAGAATACTCATATATAATTTAAACTTGTGAAAAAATTACTTTTTTATGTTTCATGGCTCTAAGACAGGATCAATATCAATATGCAATTGTAATTTTCTTTCTTAAGATTTGGCTGTACCACGTTAAAGAGAACAACTAGTATTTACTTTCTGATAAAAAATACACATTTTTTCAACGCAATTTACTTTTTTTTGGTTATTCAATTTCAAGGTCATATAGCGTCTCGATCTTTACTCCGCTAAGGATGTATTGAAAAAATACATGGTTTGGGAATGTATTTGCTAATTTTAGAATGTTTTTTTTCTATTCATGTCATTCAAGCTTCCTCAATCTATAAAAATGTATTTCGTCCTATTAAAAAGACTTTTTTGTCTCCATATCTGTAAGAAGCTGAATTTTCCTTTCAATGGCAAAGACACCTCGTAAGGAATTTAAATGAAATAATTTTATAATGTCATATGTTCGTAAATCTATTGAAAGAAGATATGTAAACATAAATTATGAAATGCTTGACAACATGAGGTCTCAAAACTAATTTTTACCAGCTTGTTCTTAAAGTTGTATTTACTTAAACTTTTGAAAATTTTCAAACAAGTCCCATTAACTTGGTAATTAATGTGTTAATTCTGAAAAAAAAATGAATAGTAAATATTCTTTTATGCAGTCTTTATTTAAACTAACATGAGATACACTGAACAAATTACACTTCCTTGATTGTGCATGTACTTATAAGACTTCTAAATTTAGACTCTTCATAACCTGACAATTGGGATATCGAGTGTGTTGGTAGATTTTGCATCGTTTAATTTAAACAATAACTTGTTACTGAAACCACCAAAGCTTTGTTATTTACAGAAGTATATAAATATTTTTTTCATTTTATGAAAGGAGTTGCGGGTAAGTGATTTCTTCTATTTTATTAGTATTTTTGTTTTAAAATTTGAGAGATATAAGGGATAGAAATAAAATTGCTTGTTAATTCTCATTTTGGAAATAAAATTAATTTTTAAATTGAATGAAAAAAATCTTTTATAACAGTACTGGTTATTAATGAAACTTATAGGTCCCCTACCGTTTCCCACTGGTAGGGATGAAGCAATAATAGGTCTTAGGAAGCGTTTTGCAACAATTCATAGATATCAATGAAGTTTTAGGTGATGATATTTAAAGAGGTACAGTATTTTTCTGATCTGAAAAATTTTCGGTGAGAAAGTTATCGATAATGCATAATCTTGTTCAATATGAACCTTCAGTAGTCCCGAGTGTCGAGTATATGTCTTAAGAAAGCAGATGGCGATTCGACAGGAATAGTGGCTCATTAAAAGAATGAAAAAATATCATTAATTTATACATTTTTCCCAAACCTAGGCATTATCTGAGTTGTAGGTGAATGTAAAATGGGCGAATATTCGGTTGAATATGTTTAATTTTATTTGAATATGGACCTGAATATAGCCGTGCGAATCAAATTATACAAAATTCGACTCTTTTACAGCCGTTTTACATTACTTTTGTTGTTTTGGGGTCTTCTCTTCAAGAATATTTAATGCGTTTTCGGTGTATTTTTAACCGTAAAACTTATTCCAGTTGTTTAAAGAATGGAGGAGAGACGACCCAGAAATACCAAAATCTAAACTTTTCCCATTTATTTTCTGGCAGAAAAATGACAACGTTCTATTGTATATGGCTTCGGCTTTAAACAATGATTTAAATACCTACTATGTAAAGTGTCCAATGCAGCTTCATTGGTTTGTCGCTGGGTTTAAGCCATATCGCAGCAGCATTTTAGGTTCGAATACAGTGATTTTTTAAAACAATTTTTCTTTTTGCTTGAAAATTTAGATTTGGTTAAAATATTACTCCTGGAATAAAGTTGCAAAGTATGTTTTATAAATTGATTCACATTGTGTTATTTTAAATGCGTTCACAAATAGAAATAAACATACATAAATTTATAACTACAAAGTTACACGGGGTGAAAAAATATTGAATATATTTAAAAGAAAATAAAAACCTAGCAACTGCGATCGTTCTGTTACATTCAATGTTTTCGGTGCATTTGAAAACTGAGCACAACAATATATTATTTAGTGTAAGACTTCTATTATATATTTTATGAATATATCCAGCATAGAAAATTATCTTTCAAAACCTTTTTACTGAAAAAAAAAATTATTCACTAATAAACAAACATAAGACAGAAATCCATTTTCATGATATATCTAGGTTCATTGCATTAGACATGTAAACAACATGGTGCTTGGACATTTAAATCTGAATTGCTTCGTGTCAATGATTCCTGTCGACTGCCCATCTAGTGTGCCCACTTTCTTTGATTGATTATATACTGTTTAACGTCCCTCTCCAGAATATTTCACTGATATGGAGACGTCACCATTGCCGGTGAAGGGCTGCAAATTTAGGCCTATGCTCGGCACTTACGGCCTTTGAGCAGGAAGGGATCTTTATCGTGCCACACCTGCTGTGACACGGGGCCTCGGTTTATACGGTCTCATCCGAAGTACCGCCCCATTTAGTTGCCTTTTACGACAAGCAAGGGGTACTGAGGACCTATTCTAACCCGGATCCTCACCGGGGCACTTTCTTTGAAGATCTTCATCTATTTATGGCAACGTCTCCCTGTGGGTGGAAAAAATTGAATGGGACAAAAAACATGGCAGTTTCAATCAATCATCTAAAATTAACTCTAATTTTTGTTCCTAGCTTTCAGAAATGTAGGAAATGAATGTGTAAGAAATTGTTTCTTATTTCATTTATTATAAACTGTATAATCCATAAAAATTTAGATTTTTTGTTTATGATAAACTTGGCATTTTGATGCTGATTATAATAGGATTTTGCCATTTATCTCAATGGCTGCAAACATTCTAAATCATCAAACACATTTTAAAGGTCGTCACGGAAACAACTTAACACGTTTGTCATAAAATATTTTGTGTATTTAGATCGAAATCCTATTCCATTTGATTTTTATTATGTAATAATATTTAAATGCATTAGGCAGCAGGTATAGCCTATATAAGCATTCCCCACAGATACAAGCTTAATTAAAATATACTACCTATAGGTTCAGGTTCATATATCACCAATACATTATGACACACACAATTAAATGGGATTTAGGAGAAGAAAAAAATAAAAGAGGAAAAAATATCTTAAGCATGCCACTGCTAACAAAATTCGTCTGTACATCTCAATAAAACAAGGATGTACTGATATACTATGAAATATATGGAGAAAACGAACAGTATTCAAGCTCACAATTCCAATATAGCAGCAAAGCAAACACGGCCCTGCAAAACATTAGAGGTGAGATCATGTGCAATGGATGAGTTAGCATCTGTCGTGTGCTCCTTGTCATGATCGGACCCCCCCCCCGAAAACTCCGTCGTCAATTCAGTGTAAAATAATGAACTAACAATTAATATAAAAACGTCAGTCAGTGTTTAACCCAATGAAAAATAGTAATTGCTGACAAGGTCATTATATCGATCAAAGAATTTACAAATGATGACTTTAAAAGAGACTGCTGATATTCTTGTTCTACAACTTGTTTGTCAATAACTTACCTAGTTTAAACCATTGTTCATATGTACGCGTAGAACATGCTCTTGGGTATCGAATTAATTTAGAGATCTTGTAAAAGTGATGAAGGTATATTGCTGCATAAGTAAGGGAAGTGTACGATTGGTAAGTTAAAGTCATCCATTGTATCATAGAGGTCGGTTGTTAGATTACCATCAACGTCATTTTCAATTTGTCTTAGAAATATTAAAAATATCTAAAGCATCCGAGTTGGGATCAGGCGCCATGGAGGAGTGAGCATTCCCTGCTGTCTGGTCACACCCGCCCTGTGCTACTTCTGGTCAAGATCTTGTTAATGGTTGGTTCCTACAGATTTTCTCAATTTTTTCAATGATCCTTTACAAATAAAGCTTGGTAACAAAAACCCTGATGTATCGGGATTTAGT